ATGGCATGAATGTTCCTTATGAGGTCGGAACCAATTAGTGTTGTTACTTTGTTGACGATTTGTTATCCTTGAAGGCTGCCAGAAGGGGCCTTAGTCTAACATAGGAACCTATTGCAATTTGGAAATACATATATAATTATTAAAGTGTCTTCTAAATTGCTGACTTTAAATGCATTGCGACTTGGATGGAGAGTTGTCTCATTGGCACTCATACCACATCTTCTTATTTATATGGTTTAATTGTTCCTTATGAGGTGCTGACAAAGTGTTGTTACTTTGTTGCCTATCTGTTGTCTAAGAAGCCTTTAGCAAGGGGGCTTAGTTTAACATATGATGCTATGGGAAATACTTACAAATGTCGTCTTCTAGAACCGATAAATGAATTGAAACCAGTAATGATTTGAATGTTCCTTATGAGGTGCTGACCAAGATTAAAGTTTGTACTTTGTTGCTGATCTGTCCTCCAAGATCATTTAATATTAGACCTTATAGGGAATACTCATTTTGCAAAATTAAATATAAAGTCCAAAGTAGAATCAGGTGAGCAGCACAGGCTCTTGAGAGCCTCTAGTTTTTATCATTCAAACTGTTCAACAGGTCAGAAATTTTAGCAAACTGCTGTAAAAAAACACAGCCAAGTAAAGAAAGTGCAAGGTGATAAAATAAACCATACTTTCAATTGTATTTGAACTTTAATTTTACTTCAATGATATTATGAAAATCATTCTAAGAATTCTTATACATTTTTTTATTGTAATTGTTTTCGACAGGTGAAAGGTAGTAATTCTTAATAAGATTGTAAGTTTGCTTTATAATTTATCACTGTGCACTTTCACGAATTGACAGTGGTTTTCTACAACAGTTCATTAAAATTTCTGACCAATTGTACAGATTGATTTGATAAAACAAATTGCAATTTGGTTAAAATTTTTGATAAACTGCAATCAAGGTGGAGAGCAACACTAATTATCATGATTATAGGTAAGTCACAGTAACACCAAATAATTCTGAGGAATGTTTTATTTTTTTTCCCAATAAGGAAATATATTATGTACAAAGGGGCATGGAGGTTTTGATCATTATTTAAAAAATAAATGCTTCTTTTTCTAAATTTATTGGTGTGTAAAAGTGTTGACGAAGCACATTTTCTATGAAGGTATAAAACCACTAATGCATAGCCCAATCGCTTTCTATGTTAAATTCTGCAATTTCAAGCATTAATGACTACTTTGTCTTATGTTCAAATAAAGTGGCAGTCATTTTATGTCAAAACTATACCTTATCCTGACTTTTGCTGAAAAATTCAACATACCTTTAATTGCATATTAGAGCGTACTGGTTCCAGGAAATTTGATAGTACAAAAACAGGTACTTCTGATCTGAACAACAGGGCAAATGTGCCCTCCTATTATAATTTTATATACTTTTTTATTATTCAAAAGAAACTTTTAGCATTTTCATGGTTCTACAGTGATCCCAAGTCCCCAAGCTTTCATTTGATACCAACACTACCCAAATATTTCACCTATTGACCAAGATGCAGCTATGCGTAGGAACTATTTTGTTTAAAATATGTACTACTTTCTTGTATGTTCTTTCCGACCGGGCCCAAATTAGTGGTTCTATACCTGAAGCGCGAAAGCGCTCTTATTCTAAAATGTGTGCAAGATCAACACTTTTACACCCCAATTAAATTACAAAAAGAAGCATGCATTTCATATAATTACATTTTTATGCTAATAAGACCATGAAAAAAAAGTTATATCAAGTTTTTCTTTTATTTACCTGTGCACTTTTTTGTGGAAGCATGTGTCATCAGGAATACGACATGTAAGGTATTTATTTGATGGTATAACAGATAAATTTTAAAGCAAATTTATGCACATATCCTTGTACAAGTGATTTATTTTTATTTATTTTACATTATATGAAAATGTTTGAGTTTAGACAATCATTTTAATAAATAAATGTGTATTTATGAACATGTCACTGATTGCTGTTTTAAAATTTGTCAAAAGGCAATGTCAAGTATATATTTAGCCAATTTGATAATTATGAAAACAAAGATCTTATATTGATGTTATAATTAAGTGTAATTCTATAGAATCATCCTTATTCTGTCATGATCTGCATCATAACCATTCATCTTATTTCTCACTGAATTTGCTAGTAAAAACTTACTAGTTGGACTTCTTGTCAAACCAAGTAATTATTTGAATCTACAATAATTTTGAATTCTGGAAAGTTAATAAGAAATGTATGATGAAAACTAACCAAACGAAAACTGATTGGTTAATTTTACTTTCACTGATTTTTCAGTATAAACTAACTTAACCCCCTTAAGCCTATCAATTTTCTAGAATTTAAATTTATTCCAGATTCAAATAATTCCTTGTTTCTAGGAACAATTGTGTATTTAAATTTACTGTTATTTCAACAGAAAATCACTCAGAAAATCTATCATTTTATATACTACAGTACTAGTCTGAATTCAGGCAGAAGAAATTTGGTGAAAACTAGTGAAATGCTGAAATCCCGGGGTTATTTGATGACCCTGGGGGGTATATAAAATTCTTTGGTGATTTCTCAAAATTTTAAGGTGTTAATTAATTACCTGCAAAATCCTGATCAGTTGACAGTTATCATCATCATGCGTCTGTTTTTCAGATATGTCTTATGGTTCATTGACTTTGAAACTGTTACATAGTTTACAAGTTAATGTTTGTGTTTTGGTTTGTTTAAAGGGAACAACTTATAATAAGTCAATGATATTTGGTATGCAGTTGTATTAGCATTGGCACATCTCATTTACATGGAGATGGTTTAGCCATGTACCTAAGTCATGGTTCATTGACTTTAAATATTAGCCTAAAAATTAACTGACGACTATTTTGAGGCCCTGCCTCCTAGGCCATGGTTCAGTGACTTTTAATTAATTAGCAATTTTCAATGATAAGTTTTCTGCTCAAGTTAGTTTGATATGAACTACTTGTGATAGATCAATGATATTTTCAATAAAGTTGCATTACTATCAGTACATATCAGTTTGACGACTATATTAAGGCCCAGCCCCCTAGGTCATGGTCCAGTGACTTTCAATCAATTAACAATTTTCAATGTTAAGTTTGATAGGAACTACTTACAATAGACATTATATATTTTCTATAAAGTTACATTGTTGTTTGTCCATCTCAGTTTGTCAACCATTTGGAGGCCCTGCCCACTAATTGGTCCAGCGACTTTGAATTAATTAGTAATTTTGCTGTCCATCAGATTGTCTTTTTTTAAATTTTATGCCGACAGGTGAGACATATCCCTGTGTCAACAGTTTATTCTTTACAAATGCCTGACGAAATTTGTGTTCTTCGACAACGATGACAGGTTTTCCTCTATCAAACTTTATTTTCTTGAATGATATATCAGACATCTTTACACGTGAAAAACTATTCTATTACTAAACAATTTATTTTGGTGAGTTTTCTTAATTTTGATGAGTGTTCAGTTTAATCTAAAGTGGATAGGTTAATTATAGTACATGTTACACTAAACAGTTACATGTATGATATATGTAAAAAAATGTACAGGTAAATGTGGCACAATTTGATTCCATTTATTGGCGCAATTAATACCATCAGAAAAACAGAGAGCGGCGCAATTGATACCTTTTCAAAACTGCAATTGGTGCAACAAATGCTATAAATGTACCTTGAATTGTAAAATTAATTCTGGTCAAAAGCAAGTCCAATATGAGATTATAATTTTCCGTATGAGAATTATGAGGATATAAAATGAACACTTCATCATAGCATATCATCACTATCATCTTTCAAAAATATTTTTTATGAGAATTACAAGATTAAAAGTCTGTCAGTTTAGGTTTTTTAAAGATTAAATGGGTATAATCCTGCCTGCAGTTGTAGATCATAGTGCATTTGCCGATATTCGAAGTCTTTTCTAGATTATATGGCATGCCTGTATGCATGTAGTCAAACCTACATGGGATCGATCTTTCCATGTCTTGATTTGGACAACAGTTGTGTTGTTTTATTTCGTTGGACACTTAAATTCATGGATAAAGTCATCCACTAAAGCCATGAAAATTGGTTCCACACAAATAAAAGTACTTTCACAGTAGAGAGAAACTTTAAATTGCAGAAATGATCAGCACGAAAAGTTCTACAAATGGGTCAAACATGGTTGAAATTGTCAGTAGACTCCTTATTAGAGTTATTTCCCTTTGATGATGATTTTTACCGATTTTTTTACGTTTTTCCCTTTTTAAAATTATAATAGATAGATGGAAACTCAAATAAGAAAAAATGATCAGCAAGACAGGATTTACAATTATGCCAATATTAAGGAATCATCTGACTTCAGACGAATCCTAATTGGAGTTACCCTTTAATGATGATTTTTACCGTTTTTTTTTGCGTTTTGCCTTGTATGATAAAAATTATAATAGATAAATAGACACCATAAATCACAAAAATGATCAGCAAGGCAATATCTAATGTAACAAGTCAAATTTTGTTGATATAGTTATATAGTAGACTGTCTCTCTTATAGGAGTGAACTCTTATAGGAGTGAATACCCTCTTGTGTTTTGAGCAAAAACTAAAGAAGATAGAGAGAAATTAAACAGACTAAATCATTATATATATAACTATACAAGATCAACAAAACAGAAATTTTTGTCATGAATTCTATTATTGGCTACAATGTTGGAGAGTGTCCTTTGTTGAATATGCACATAGACCAAGGTGAGCGACACAGGCTCTTTAGAGCCTCTCGTTTAAGACTTTCAACATAAATTTGATAATTATCACTAAAGCAGGTGAGACATTTCAGCATGTGCACTCTTGTTGGAAGTTAATTTTACACTGACAACAGCAATTATTAGGGAAACTTATATTTTGACAATTTTAACATGGATGCATTAATTTTAGGTTAACTGTTACTTAAGCATTAAATGTAGTATGTTGTATCTTTGTATTTTTCAGTGTCATGACAGGAAGTATATTTGAAGATGGTAAGTCTGTATGCAGTTGAAGGTCATCTGTTGTACATGGCCACATGATAATGGGTGTGTTCAGGTTTCTTAATCATTTCTTATTTTGTATACAGGAAAATTATTTCTTGTAGCAGAAACGTGTTAATGGCACCGGACGCTTGCACTTTTTGATAGAACATTTGCATTTTATGCCCCGCTGTTGTTTTCTAACTTAAGTTTGCCTCAACCAAATGTTATAACATTTATACAAAATGTATATTAAGACAAAATTCAGATCAAGTATGAATTTGGGTAGCATCACTTTTACTGTCCCTTATATTATTAACGTTATATGCAATTGGAGATATTTGTCTGTGTTCCATGGACACATTCCCCTTTTATCTTAATGGACATTTGCACTTTAATTATTAGGACATTTGCGCTTTATCAACATCATGTATAACAATGTATAAGTTATCATGATAAAACAGTTTAAAAAATCATTTAATATAAAAAACACAAAACATTCATATATTCATGCTTTTGTCCTATGAAAACAATAACACTGTGTGTAGGAAAGTAAATTCCTTAAACCAACCAAATAATTGGCTCTTTCTAAAATTCAACATGATGGTTTAAAAATCAAATCAGTCTCCACAAATAGAAACAAGCTTACATAAACAATGCATGATGGTATGTAGTTCCTCTGACCATGCATTCATGCAACAGAATGGACACTGTGTGTTAAAGAGGAATATAATTTCCAATTTTAAATCCATGAATTATAAAGCTACTTGGAAAATTTAGGGTGACATTTAAAAGTTCCACGCATATAAATTTAGTTTTCTCTATGGTTTACTCAGAAATATATACTATATATATATACCACACAAAGTGGTCGGTGCCATATATACAAAATGTAGTTTTACCCTTATCCGTCATTCTGCCATTCTGCAATGAACAGTTATATAGACATCTTTTCTAAATGCCTTCACATATTGTGTTGATTTATAGTATGTGAGTCTACTGTATGATGAGTTACAGATCGAGTTAACATTTGGTTCCACTCTGCTGATGTTTGCCAAAATTACGGGCTTTGGAAGTTATGAAAATTTTGTGAAAATAACAGTTACTGTAAATTCAGAAATTATTGCGATGTTTTTATTATTGCGAAAAATGCGACAGGGTTAAAATCGCAATAATTTAAACTCGCATTTTGAAATTTTTTATATGAATTAAACAGGATTTTTCTCAATATCGCAAAAATTAAAATCGCATTTTAGTCTAAAATGACAAAATCGCAATAATAAATGCACGCATTAATTTCTGAATTTACAGTATATAGACTTTTTTTCTAAACGACTTCACATATTGAGCTGATTTTTAGAATGTGACTACATTGTACTAAGATGAGTTACAGATTAATTTTACCTTTGGTTCTGCTCTGCTGATTTATGCCGAAATTACAGGCTTTGGACTTTAAAAAGATTTTGAAAATATTTTGAAAATAACAGTTATAAATATAGACTTACATTCTCAAATTTCCACTAAAAAAAAATGGCTTCAGGCTTTTTTTTGCAAGCAGGGCCATTTGAGTTGTTCAGACATATCTTGTTTCATTATAAAAATATGTCTGGTTAAAAGAAATATTTTTTCTGATTTTGTGGATTGTTTGGAAGAACTTTCAAAGAATATGTGAACCTCTTTGCATGACTTTCGTTAATTTTGTTAAGATCACAGGTAAACTTAACTACCAAAGGTAATGAGTAATAGGATACCTATATTTGATGTATTGGTTCCTTGCAATGTCTACATGTCCAGGTTCACCTGACCTCACCCTCATTTCCTGAAAAAATTATCAAGGTCAAAAGTTATGTGGTCAAGTCGGTATCTCAGATACTATATAAGCATAAGGCCAACTATATTTTGTGTATGGAATGATTGTCAGGTGTACATATCTGCCTGGCAGGGTTCATATAACAGTGACCTCATTTTTGTGGTTCATTGGTCGATATTAAGAATTGCTGGCTTAAACAAATTGGACTTTGTTATTTTTGTAGTATAGATTGTTAATGTTCAGTTTATTTGATCATGGTGATACTTGTAGTAAAACCTTAATGTTACAGACTTTCAACATGAATTCAATGATGAGTAAAACAGGCAAGAAAATTGAGCGTGTGCACTATTGTCTTTTAATTAGATTAATTACCATTGGTAGTTTTGTAATAAATTCCAATATTCAATTGAAATAATAAACGCTTGTCATAATTTGAGCTCAAATGGCGTGAACATTTTGTGATTTCCTTATACATGTATTAGCTATTGGTTTCTTAATGATCATACACCATCTTTTTTCTATTGTCTGTTGTCATTTGTAAACTTTTACAAAATTCTTCTCCGAAACAACATGGCCAAATTGTAGCAAATCTGGTCACAAACAAGGGTATCAAGTTTAAACTAGGGGCTATAAAAACCAAATATTGCTCACCTGGATCTAGATACATCTTCAACAATGGCTACTCTTTAGCATTATAGATTAGAATCATTTAAAGGTTGGAGGGGCCTTGGTTGTTTTTAATTTTGCAGAAAACACTAAGAAAAATTAAGGAAATCTTCATTGCTGGGCATTTTCTTCTTCAGAATTTCAGTTGTGCCATTTGTAGCTCACTGGATTCGGGCCCCATGTGAGCTTATAAATGCCATCACTTGGCGTCCGTCATCGTTTGTCGTCTGTCGTCGTTGTCGTTGTCGTTATTTTAAGAATCTTCTCCTCTGAAACTACTAGGCCAATTACCTTCAAACTTTAACTGAATGTTCTTTAGGGTATCTAGTTTATAACTTGTATCCAAAGTTTTAAAAAAATCCATCAACAAACATGGCCGCCATGGCTAAAAATAGAACATAGGGGTCAAATGCAGTTTTTGGCTTATATCTCAAAAACTAAAGCATTTAGAGCAAATCTGACATGGGGTTAAATGTTCAATAGGTCTAGATCTATCAGCCCTGAAATTTTCAGACGAACCGAACAACCCATTGTTGGGTTGCTGCCACTAAATTGGTAATTTTAAGGAAATTTTGCAGTTTTTGGTTATTATCTTCAATATTATTATAGATAGAGATAAACTGTAATCAGCAATAATATTCAGCAAAGTAAGATCTACAAAAAAGTAAAGGTGACTAAAATTGTCAATTGACCCTTTAAGGAGTTATTGCCCTTTAAAGACAATTTTACACCATTTGTTCATCATGTTTGCTAACATTTAAAAATCTTCTCCTCTGAAACTACTGGGCCTAATACTTCTAAACTTTAACCGAAGGCTCCTTAAGGTATCTTATTTATAAATTATATCCATAGTTTTGATCCATCAACAAACATGGCCGCCATGGCTAAAAATAGAACATTGGGCCTAATAATTTTAACTGAATGTTCCTTAGGGTAACTGGTTTATAATTTGTATCCGAAATTTTTATCCATTAACAAACATGGCCGCCATGGCTAAAGATAGAACATAGGGGTCAAATGCAGTTTTTGGCTTTTATCTCAAAAACTATAGCAGTTAGAGCAAAAGTGACATGGAGTTAAAGTGATGAATTAATCAAAATCTATCTGTTTTGAAATTTTCAGACCAATTTGGACAACCCATTGTAGGTTTACTAAGACACATTAGTTTTCGCACTCTAACTTTAGTTTAAGTGAATGGATCTCAATGAAATTGTACCATAAGGTTCAATACCACAAAACGAAGGTTGGGATTGATTTTGGGGGTTATGGTACCAACAGTTAAGGAATTAGGGGCCAAAAAGGGGCCAAAAATAAGCATTTTTGTAACTTCCAGACATAACTTGTGTGTAGGTGTATGGATCTCTCTGACATTGTACCACACGGTTCCAAATCACTAAGGGAATGCTGGGATTGATTTTGGGGGTAATTGCCTCCAAATTTTAGGAATAAGGGGCAAAAAAGGGGCAAAAAACACGCATTTTTCTAGTTTCATGACAATAACTTGTATGTAAGTCTATGGATCTCTCTGAAATTGTATCACAAGGTTCCATATCACAAAGAGAATGCTGGGATTGATTTTGGGGGTAATTGCCTCCAAATTTTAGGAATAAGGGGCCAAAAAGGGGCAAAAAACAAGCATTTTTCTAGTTTCATGACAATAACTTGTGTGTAAGTCTATGGATCTCTGAAATTGTATCACAAGGTTCCATATCACAAAGGGAATGCTAAGATTGATTTTTGGGGGTAATTGCCTCCAAATTTTAGGAATTAGGGGCCAAAAAGGGGCAAAAAACAAGCATTTTTCTAGTTTCATGACAATAACTTGTGTGTAAGTGTATGGATCTTTATGAAATTGTACTACAAGGTTCCATATCACACAGGGAAAGCTGGAATTGAGTTTCGGGGTAATTGCCCAAAAAGTTTAGGAATTAGGGCCAAAAAGGGGCCAAAAATAAGCATTTTTCAAGTTTCCAGACAATAACTTGTGTTCAAGTGTATGGATCTCTCTGAAATTGTACTGCAAGGTACCATACCACAAAGAGAAGGCTGGGATTGATTTTGGGGTAATTCCCTCAAAATTTTAGTAATAAGGGGCCATAAAAGGGCAAAAAAACAAGCATTTTTCTAGTTTCAGGACAATAACTTGTGTGTAAGTGTATAGATCTTTATGAAATTGTACTGCAAGGTTCCATATCACAAAGGGAAAGCTGGGTTTGAGTTTGGGGGTAATTGCCCTAAACGTTTAGGAATTTGGGGCCAAAAAGGGGCCAAAAAACAAGCATTTTTCTAGTTTTCAGACAATAACTTGTGTTGAAGTGTATGGATCTCTCTGAAATTGTACTGCAAGGTACCATACCACAAAGGGAAGGCTGGGATTGATTTTGGGGGTAATTCCCTCAAAATATTAGTAATTAGGGGCCATAAAAGGGCAAAAAAACAAGCATTTTTCTAGTTTCAGGACAATAACTTGTGTGTAAGTGTATGGATCTTTATGAAATTGTACTGCAAGGTTCCATATTACAAAGGGAAAGCTGGGTTTGAGTTTGGGGGTAATTTCCCTAAATGTTTAGGAATTGGGGGCCAAAAAGGGGCAAAAAAACAAGCATTTTTCTAGTTTCCAGACAATAACTTGTGTTGAAGTGTATGGATCTCTCTGAAATTGTGCTGCAAGGTACCATACCACAAAGGGAAGGCTGGGATTGATTTTGGGGGTAATTCCCTCAAAATTTTAGTAATTAGGGGCCATAAAAGGGCAAAAAAACAAGCATTTTTCTAGTTTCAGGACAATTACTTGTGTGTAAGTGTATGGATCTTTATGAAATTGTACTACAAGGTTCCATATCACACAGGGAAAGCTGGAATTGAGTTTCGGGGTAATTGATTAAAAAGTTTAGGAATTAGGGCCAAAAAGGGGCCAAAAATAAGCATTTTTCTAGTTTCCAGACAATAACTTGTGTTCAAGTGTATGGATCTCTCTGAAATTGTACTGCAAGGTACCATACCACAAAGAAGAGGCTGGGATTGATTTTGGGGTAATTTCCTCAAAATTTTAGTAATTAGGGGCCATAAAAGGGCAAAAAAACAAACATTTTTCTAGTTTCAGGACAATAACTTGTGTGTAATGTATGGATCTTTATGAAATTGTACTGCAAGGTTCCATATCACAAAGGGAAAGCTGGGTTTGAGTTTGGGGGTAATTGCCCTAAACGTTTAGGAATTTGGGGCCAAAAAGGGGCCAAAAAACAAGCATTTTTCTAGTTTCCAGACAATAACTTGTGTTGAAGTGTATGGATCTCTCTGAAATTGTACTGCAAGGTACCATACCACAAAGGGAAGGCTGGGATTGATTTTGGGGGTAATTCCCTCAAAATTTTAGTAATTAGGGGCCATAAAAGGGCAAAAAAACAAGCATTTTTCTAGTTTCAGGACAATAACTTGTGTGTAAGTGTATGGATCTTTATGAAATTGTACTGCAAGGTTCCATATTACAAAGGGAAAGCTGGGTTAGAGTTTGGGGGTAATTGGGTAATTTCCCTAAATGTTTAGGAATTGGGGGCCAAAAAGGGGCAAAAAAACAAGCATTTTTCTAGTTTCCAGACAATAACTTGTGTTGAAGTGTATGGATCTCTCTGAAATTGTGCTGCAAGGTACCATACCACAAAGGGAAGGCTGGGATTGAGTTTGGGGGTGATGAATCATAAGGGGGTTCAAAAAATTTGGGGGGGGGGATTTTTTTTTCCTTTTTTTCTTTAAAATTTACCATTTTAAATTGGTTATTTCTGATTTATATATAAAAGCAAATAATAATGATAAGGTTTGAATAGATAAATTTAAATTTTTTAAGTTCTTAGACCACTCTCATTCTGTGTCAGAAACCTATGCTGTGTCAAATATTTAATTACAATCCAAATTCAGTGCTGTATCAAGCTTGAATGTTGTGTTTATACTTGCCCAACTGTTCAGGGTTCGACCTCTGCGGTCGTATCAAGCTGGGCCCCAGCGGAGCATTTTATTGGTTATTATCTTTAATATTATAATAGATAGAGAGAAGTGTTAATGGCAAAAATGTTCAGCAAAGTAAGATCTGCAAATAAGTCAAATGCCTGAAACTGAAATAACAGGTGAGCGATATCAGGCTCTCATGATCATCTTGTTTTTAATCAGGTAAAAGTCTAATTTGGTAAAGTATGCATATGGATGGCTGGTAGCGATTAATTTTCATGAAGTTGGAAAGACCCCTTTGGTTACTATCTGTGATTATAAGTGCGGTTGTAAAATGGCATCAGGAATTTCTTATCAGTCACATGATTTTATTAAGTCTTGTTATTATAGCGCTCATGTGGGAAATCTCTAGTTTAATAACAAGGTGGCGCTGTATCATATAAAACTTCTACCTTTAAAAAGAAATCAAATGTTGTAAAAAACTTGAAAAAACAGATGATAATTGTTTTATCTAAGTAACAACAGCTTAACATGATAAGTTGTATTTATTTTTGCATATATATTTGGTGTTACTGTTTGTTTGAAACCGATCTAAAAGTGTTTTTCACATGAAAAAGATCTTGAGTAAAACAGATAATACTGATGAAGCGATCAGGTTTCACATGATGTTTTAAAAAATAATGTAGATATAAAATATTATACTGTTGATTTGTGCCAAGTTTATCGAGATTTATTAAATTATATATTTGTAATAAATGTCATTGATTCTTTGTATAAAAGTGACACCTAACATCCACGCATTTCAACATCAATCCGAATTCCGATAGCAATAAAATCTTATTTGGAAGACTCCGTTTACATACTATTAATATTTTGTTGTAATTATATTACAAAATAATGATCTTATGATGCTAGTATTACTAGACTTGCAATTGCTTACATCAATCCGACACTAATTAAGTGTTTCGGCGGTTTTTGTATTATATGCTAATGATAAATGTATTACATTTATGAATAGGTTTTTTATACCCCCGCTGTAGGCAAAGGGGACATTAACTGTTACCCTTGACTGTCAATAATTCCATCTGTCCATCCGTTCCATTTTTGTTTGTTTGAAGCTTGAGCATGGGCATTAAGTGATACCCTTGACCATCCGTCTTTCTGTTCGTCCTTCAGGCTGTCCCATTTTTGTTTGTTTGAATCTTCAGTGGGGGAATTCATGTCCTCAGACACATTCTTTTATCTTTAAAAGGTTTGACATTATACAGTCATCTTAATTTTACATTATTTTGAAAATATAAAAATAATATGTTATCTTCTGTTGTACATTAGTCAGGCAGTAAACTTTCTCATATATTTATTTCTTTTATTCTTACCCGATTTTTCGTTTCCTGACCCGTTGATTATTTTTATTTAATCAACGTGTGGTTCGTTTGATCTCAGTTCTTCATTGGTCAAAATTCAAAAATGACGTCAAATTTTCTTGCTTTCCTCTGAATTTCCAATTGTGACGTCATGAAAACAGGTGACCATGTCTAATGATGTCACATGGAAAGAACACATCTTTTTACAAATCATTCGAAAAGATAGATTCAGATTGTCAGTATATCATCAAAAAATCATTACAGAAACAAATTCCACCACCAAATCTTGTGCAATACAACGAATATTTATCCACTCTCAACAGTTATATTTAAAATATTTAATTTAAAAAGGCTCAGCAAGCCTCTGTTTAAATTTGAAAATTTAACTGTCTCAAGTGGATAAATATTGTATCACGATTGAGGTATTGGTAGAATCTATATATATATAATTTATAATTAAGATCCATTTATTACATCGGTGATCGGTTTATTTGGCAATTGCCAATGGCAGTCAGCTGGGTTTTAGAACATTTGTTGTTCGACCTGTTAGTCAAATGCGTTTTGTTAAAATATACTTTTTCACTTTTTTGGTCTTTTGGAAATTGTTGTTTGTGCTGTATTTAGACCCCTCTAACAAGAAATTTGTTTTGCATGCACACGTATAAAAATTGCGGTTTTTATCCAACGCAATCATAGGTTTGAACATTGTTTTCAATTTAGACTTGTATATATATATATAAAATAGACTTTTTCACTTTTTTTGGTCTTTTGGAAATTGTTGTTTGTGCTGTATTTAGACCCCTCTACCAAGAAATTTGTTTTACATGCACACGTATAAAAATTGCGGTTTTTATCCAACGCAATCATAGGTTTGAACGTTGTTTTCAATTTAGACTTGTATATATATATATATATATATATATATATATATATATATATAGATAATTTTATAATGATATCACTTTATGTATCCTTCAAAAATATGCAACAGAGTGTAATTGTATGCAAATTTTGAATTAGTCTTTTCATCTGTCTAAAACAGCAATAATCCAAACCAAAAATATTGATGGAAATTTTGCATAAATAAATGATACTTATTCTTTAAACTGATAATACTTGGCTTTAAAGAATATTTCTTTTCTTTTTCCCATGTTGAATCATTAAAATAATATGAATTTACTTTACAGCTTTGCCTTCCAGCAACACTAAAACTGACCATTCGATATTGGGGGTCGGACAGTGGTGCAGGAAGATTTTGAAAATGAATAATCTGGCCTGGTCTAGGTTGATAATAATAGTCTGTCCAATAAATAGGATGTAGTTTTGGTCTTTCCATAATGATATAAATCAGGATACTCTCCTTGGTTTTTATTGCACAAATATGTTGAGCAATCCTCCTGGCATCTGTTTCTGTATTTTAGACTGTTAAACAATGGTATAAAGTTAAAATCAGTTGAAAACGGGAATACTGAAAACAGGTCAAAAATATTTACTAAGGTTTGTAATAGATTCGGACTACAAAATTATCATCATCCATGTCATATACAATTGATATTTCTACCCTGTTTCCCATGTTAAATCATTAAAACAAGGATGAATTTATTTTATCTGGCAAAAGTGAAAACGTTAGATATATAAACTAGGATAAACGTCTTGGTTTTGAACACACTTTATTCATATTCTTCTGGAATGCTTCCTATAGTTCAATAGGAATATGAGAAAAACCCAGAGGAACACCAAGCTTGAGGAAAGAAGTTTGGTTCATAAATAAAACATCTGGGATGTTGAAGCAGAAAACCAGAAACAAGTGAATGCAGAATTGCATTTTGAAATTTCATGACTTTTTATACCTTTAATATATTTCCAAAATCATATATTTATTTTCGCATATATATATATACAATTTAATACCTTATAGATAGACCAAACAATGTAACCAGATCTGGGGATCGATCAGAAAAAAAAAGGGATATAAGAATGATTTACACAATAGTGCTATTCCTGGTTCTTATCCTGTCACTGGTTAGCATTGGATTCTATAGATGTAAAAAAAGAGTACAGTCACACAAATACAGAGACATAAAAAAAGTTATTGTCATGAGACAGGTATGTTTCTATTTCAGACATAGATTTCGTGAATACATAAGTGCAGCAGAGTATCTTATATTTGATGATGATTAAGAAGAGAGAAAAAGAGAAGTGCTTACCTCTGTTAGAAAAACAAAAGAGATAACTTATCTGAAATATGAGCAATTTGGTGATCATATAAAGTAAACACATATCTTATGCACTCAAAATAATAATTTTTTTTTTTTGTCTTCAAGCAGTTTTAAGCAATGATTTCTAAAGTTCATATTAATATGAATGACAATTTAGTATCTTCATTCTATTTTAAAAACTTGCTTCTTTAGGTTTCTTTAAGTATATGTTTGCTCTAAAACATTTTTCAAATGCTTATTGGTATTAATAAATCAAAAAATTGATGTAGTTTTACTTCGGCATATCAATTTCAATAAGCTAGGTTTCAGAATGCAATAACATTAAAGACCATCTAAACATTTACTTACAGAAGGAGTCAAATGATGGCACACATCCAACTGGTTTCCAAACAATAAGAATCGAACCTGATCCAAGACTGCGGTTGTCATCTGATTTAACCATGATGTCCGAATACCATCTTCCTCTTGATAAACACTATGAATTTAGTAGAGATAAGTAAGTCCTAGCACGAAACTTGCCAGTAGATGTAAATTATTTGATGTAAACATTGAAACTGCATGGTAAACTTGTATCCATTGAACTGGGGACCATAGTTTAGCATTACTCAATATTGTATTATCAACTGGTATCCATTGACTGAAAGTTAGCATTGCTCAATGCACTTACTTGGATGAAATATTATGTAGAAAAGCAATACAAAAAATTATGTATTTTTCCCTATCTAAAAAATAATCATAAACCTTCATTTTTGTCTCACCTGCGATGAAAGTCACAGTAAGCGAGACATAGGGATTACAATCTGGCAGTCACGATGAAGGGGTAAAATATTTGTATAAAGCTTTTATTATACCCCCGCTTTAAAAATGTGGGGTATCTGAAAACGCATCACACGGTATAGCTAACTTATATAAACCCTGAAACCAAATTTCAGAAATCCTTGTATTGTATTTCCTGAGAAAAATGTGACGAAAAATTTCAACTTGGCTATCATGTGTAAAATGATACAAGTGTTCGGTAAACAAAGTTATTGAGTGATGAATATTCTACAAAGTTTCCATCTGTCATATGTCCATGTCCTCGACCTCATACCATGGTTCAGTGACTGCTTGAAAAAAATTACAGTTTTTTGGTCAAATAAAATACTCACTTATTATGTGTAATAAGATAAACTTATTTGGTATATGGATTCCTTGCAATGTCTACATGTCCATCTAGTAGGGTTCACCTGACCTTGACAACATTTCATGGATCAGTGATCAATGTTAAAGTTGCTAAGATACTATAAGCATTATGTCAACTATATTTGGTGTACGGAATAATTGTTAGGTATACATGTGTGACTAACAGGTTTCATTTGACCTTGACCTCGTTTTAATGGTTCATTTGTATAAAAATAAGAAAATGTGGTATGATTGCCAATGAGACAACTCTCCACAAGAGACCAAATGACATAGAAATTAACACCTATAGGTCACGGTACAGCCTTCAACAATGAGCAAAACCCCTACCGCATAGTAAGCTATAAAAGGCCCCGAAATGACAAATGTAAAACAATTAATACTAGAAAACTAACGACCTAATTTATGTACAAAATAATGAACGAAAAACAAATATGATACACAGAAACCAACAAAAACCACTGCATTATTTGCTCCCATGACTTGGGACAGTCACATACAGAATGTGGCAGGGTTAAACATGTTAGCGGGCGCCCAACCCTCCCCCTAACCTGGGACAGTGGTGTTACAGTACCTTATAAGAACAAACTATAAAATCAGTTAAAAAGGGCTAAACTCATCAGATGGATACAAATAGAAGAAAGTAAAATAACAAAAATACCAAACTCCAAAGAAAATACGGTAAATAAATCTAACAAAAACACAGAGTGGATGTGGCAGGGTACTTATACATCCCCTCAACAAAAAGACACTAAGTACAGATCTGAGAGTACCGGTACTCACAGTTACTGACAGCTACTTCAAAGCCAATAACAACTAATAAAAAAAAGATGCATCTAAGACTTAAAAAATGGTCTATTTCTCAGATAAAATATTGATGCATGGAATGATTGTAAGGTAACCATTTCAGTCTGACAGGTTTCATCTGACCTTGTCCTCAATTTCATGGTTCATTTGACATTATTTAGTTTTTATGGTTTTATCTCTTTCTCAGATATTATAAGCAATAGGACCAGTATATTTGGTGTATGGAATGCTTGTAGGTGTACATGTCTGTCTACCATGGTTCATTTGACTGTGACTTCATTTTCATAGAACATTGATCTAGTTAAGTTTATGTGATATTTGTAGTAAAACCTTCATATTCAAGACATTCAACATGAATTCAATGATAAGTAAAAAGGGTGAGACACTTCAACGTGTGCACTCTTGTTTTAGAATCTGATAAAAAATGATAATCACAACTTAAAGAATTTTTATTATTTATCATTTTTATACGCCCGTCAATTTTTGACAGACGTATTATGGTATACAAATGTCCGGTGTCCGTCCGTCATAAACATGTTGCACTGTAACTTGAGAATGACTTATCCAAATTTCATGAAACTTAACATAGTTGTTTCTTATGATGGTCAAACGATCTGTATACTTTTTGGTGAAAATAAGATTCAAACTTTTTGAGTTACGGGACTTAGTAACTGAAACAGGTGTGTGTTTTTTTTCACATGTTGCGCCGTATCTCAAAAACAATTTATGATTATTGCTTAAAATTTTACACACTTCTTAGTTATATTAATCTTAAGATCTGTATACTTTTTGGTTTTGATTCAAAATTTTATTTTTGAGATATTGATTTTTTTTTTTTAAAAGGGGGGTTTTCACATGTCGCACTGTATCTCAAAAACGATTTATGATTATAGCTTAAAATTTTACACACTTCTTAGATATATTAATCTAAAGATCTGTATATTTTTTGGTTTTGATTCAAAATTTTATTTTAGAGATATTGAGTTTTTTGTAAAAAAAAAAGGGGGTTTTCGCATGTCACGCCGTATGTCAGAAACTATTTATGCTTATTGCATAAAAATTCACACACAAGACGACGGGCATATCATGCGCTCATGGCACAGCTGTTTATTACATTTTTAAACCAATATATATCTAGATGGCAGTTATATTTACTTGATTGTATTAATTGTAGGTTGATTTTGGGTGAAAAATTGGGAGAAGGTGCCTTTGGCCTTGTCGTAAAGGCTGAGGCAGTTGATATGTTGCCATCTACCACTTCAACAACCGTGGCTGTGAAGATGCTTAAGGGTGAAATTTATTATTTCTTTTAATTGTATTAATACTTGATTGTTTTCTAATGGGCATTATGTAGACTAGCACAAACCTTGGGGAAATATGAAAAAAAATTATTTAGTTGTGTCTGACTTTGAATTTTGTAAAACTAGATTATTTAAATACATGTCATTTTTAGTAATACAATGTGGAATTGATTCTGTCATTAGTAGATATTGAAAAGGAATTTTAAATCTATTGAACTTACTTGGAAAAAAAAACACAAATTTTTACATAGACATCAAGGTTCCCCTGCCTTTTTGAACTATTAATTTTAATACTAAATATGTTAGGATTTAAAAATGAATGAAAACAAACTTAACACATTTTGAATGTGACCAATTGTTTTATAAGCTAATGACATTATTTGAATATTTCAGAGGATGCAACTGACAGAGAATTAATAGATTTAATGCAAGAAATGGAAGTGATGAAATTAATAGGCAGCCATACAAATATAATTAATTTTTTAGGATGCTGCACACAAAAAGGTAAAGTAGTTTACTAAAAGTGTCAAGTGCAATATGAAATACATATTGATTGATTGTTCATGTATATACCATGACTTCCAAAATAGTCATATTTTCTGGTCATGACTTATAAATACAAAAAAAAATTTGACCGGCTGGTGTACATCTAAAGCAGAAATCAAATGTACATTTGCCATTTAAATACAATTCAGAAAAAATCTATGTTCAGATCATCTCTTTTACTTGACTTTTTATGCCCCACCTAGGGGCATTATGTTTTTTGGTCTGTGTGTCCGTTTGTCTGTCTGTCCCGCTTCAGGTTAAAGTTTTTGGTCAAGATAGTTTTTGATGAAGTTGAAGTCCAATCAACTTGAAACTTAGTACACATGTTCCCTATGATATGATCTTTCTAATTTTAATGCCAAATTAGAGTTTTGACCCCAATTTCACGGTCCACTGAACATAGAAAATGATAGTGCGAGTGGGCAGGTTAAAGTTTTTGGTCAAGGTAGTTTTTGATGAAGTTTGAATTTCAATCAACTTGAAACTCTGAACATAAAAAATGATAGTGCCAGTGGGGCATCCGTGTACTATGGACACATTCTTGTTTTGCTTTACAGTGACACAAGGAGTAATTACTTTAAAAACAAGCCCTAATTATATACCCCCTCACAAAAATAGTTATGACTGACTAAGAAGGTTGATTGACAGTTAAAATTTACCTGCTAGACTAACAGGTGAACAAAAAGGTACCGGATATCAATCTATCTTTTTGACATTGTTTCTGAAATTAAACTTAATCTAAATAATTTTATTAATAAATAATGTATTTGATCAAAAAAGTATTTTAACTGATTGAATCATAGAATTTAATAGGTGTAAGAGGAAAACAATCGAAAGAACATCATTGTTGACATAAGTACAAGTCTGACCCATGTGCAAAGGTGTGTTATTTATTGTCTCGCCTTGACGGAGTAAAAAAGCGAGACATAGGTATGCTGTTTCTGGTGGCGGCGGCGTCAACAATGTATAAGTTTGTGATTAGGTCTAGTTCATGGTGAACCACTAGTGGTAGGTCAATGATATTTGGTATGCAGTTGTATTAGCATTGGCACATCTCATTTCAATGGAGATTATTTGGCCCCACCCCCTCAGTCAAGGTCTATTGACTTTGAAATTTTTCATAGTTTACATGTTTAGGTTTGTTTAAAGGGAACGACTTATGATAAGTCAATGGTATTTGGTATGCAGTTGTATTAGCATTGGCCCATCTCATTCCATGGAGATTGTTTAGCCATGTACCTTCAGTCATCGTTCATCGACTTTGAATATTTGCATAACTTACATGTTAAAGTATTGCTATTTTAATTGTAACATTTGCATTATCAAATTACAAAAAGGCGAGACATATCTCTGTGGTAACAGTTTATTTGTGCATTTGAAAGCTTTCAAAATGATGAAAAATATTATTTTAGATAATTCACACCACATATCTTATGTTCATATCAAGAATTTACTTTAAGAAATAACATGGTGAGAAGGACTTAAACTCGTTGATGCTTGACAAAAATTCACAGATTTTAGTTTTTCCGTCTCTGTTATTTTCTGTTGTCAAGTCCACATCCGGTTTTAGAACTATCAATGTACAAATTAATTTCAGTTCACTGCAGAATCCATATCTAAAGTACAAAGTAATTGTTTCATGTCAGTCATTGTCAGAATGTTCTTGATTCCCCAATGATTATCTTCACCCCCTTAAGTTACAAAGCATTAAAGGGAAATGCTGCAAAAAATGAAAAATTGATATTCATTATGTATAAAAAAGCACAAATTCATAAATATTAACCTTTTATTCTCCTAGATGAAATATCACCATCGATTTAAAATTGGGAACATTAATTCTCTACATGTAGCCATCTTGATAGCTTCCCAGGTAAAAAAAAACCATGTGATATCTATAAACCACAAAGTACCAAAACAAGAAGGGTCTAACATAGTTGTAATTTAGTGTCAAAATCTCTTGTCAATCGTACGGTTGTTTTACCCGACAAGATGATGTCAAGCGCATGCACAGTTTCACGGTTCATAACACTTTCATGTAAAACATTTAGTTAATTCGGTCCTTCCCTAATTTGATCATCAGCAAGGCTATCAGAAATATTGCCAGAGGGATTGTGAGGTAACACGTTCAGGTATTCAAGCGATTTCTTGTCTGGCTTAAAAACTCTTATTACACAATTACGTAATGCAGGTTAATGCATTGATTCACTACTGAGCGTATAGATCAGTGTACATGGCTGGTAATATGGAACTATTAGGTGTAATATACATCATTTGTACATTTTATTTTGTTTTTGAGTCCGACGGTGAAACATTACTTAACTGCTACATGTAGTCAATTTTACTAGCACTTGTTTATGAATGACATTTCTGGTGTAATGAATGATATTTATGAAAATCTAAATAATTCCAACTAAAGTTTTGATGAAGTAAAAATCCATTTAGATATTTTCCAATGGTAAAATTTGGAAAATGTAAATATATACCTAGGCTTCCAAAACGGTCATATATTCCAGACATATGTATAATGTCCGGTAATAATAATGCTGGGCAAAGCATGAAACGGACATCTCAATTTAAGTTTTCAAGGCTTAAGAGACGGTCATTTTAACATAATTCGTGATCTTTTTGACCCAACATTTTGCCTTTAACAGCCACACATTTCCGGTCATAAAAGTGACATGATCATTAAGTATTATCAAAACAACCCCTACTTTAATACCTTCTCATTTTAATCAAGGCTAATTAGTTGTCGAACAGCTGACATATACCTGTTCAGGTGACAGGTAAACTATTTTGAACCGGACATTGATCGGTCTACTCAAAGTAATTTTCTTACATTTCAGCGGTTTGCATCTAATTAATTTAGTTTAAAAGATTTAAATTATCAGAAATACATTTACAAATATGATTTGATGAAAAATTAAAAAGGTGAAAATGTAAAATCGTCATAACTACGTTGTTTGAACCAGAGACATGTCTCTGTTTGAACTAGTACACGTGTGCGCATGTGCGCAGGTGTGAAATTTAATTATGCATCCTAATTTCTTCAAAAAATGCTTAAATTGTCATTGATACCTTTATCTCACGTTTATTTCGATAATTTTCTTGAAGAAATAACGTAGAAAGAGCTACTTACACTCATTCATGCTTTGCAAACGTACACGGAATTTACGTATCCATCTCTGGTCCATGTTTTACTATTGTCAAGATAAAATCCGGTTTAGATTTAAAAACGAAAGTAAAGTTTTTGACAACGTTATTTTGCACAAATAAAGAGTCTATGCAGATATAAGTACGCTGATGTTGCACACTTCGAATGATGCACTGCCAATTTAACAGTTTACGTCAGAACTTCGAATTTGAATCAAAGAAAGTTTAATATAGTTTTTTTTTTAATGTCAATCATTGGGATGGCCAACTCGGCAACTGATTACCATAATTGCCTTTTATTTATTTAATCTTAAGGGATTAAAATCGGGATAATATATAAAATGTCCGGCTGGCTAAAAATAATTTTGGAAGCCCTGATATATACTCGTCAATAATTATTGACATTTTGAATTTATAAACATTTATTTCACAAAACTGTACACACTTGTCGATCATTGGTTTATACAGATAGAAAGTTACAGAACTATTGGTATAGTAACAATTTAAAATATGTATATATATTGAAAATAAGAGAGGAACCTCCATAACCAATCTGATTTAAATTCAGATCTATAACTTACTTGCTTTGCTTTGTTGAAGTTGTGAACATAGTAAAATCACAGATTTATCTTTCAATTAGAATGTTCTAGAGCAGATTAAGAAATTCCTCTTCGCAATTGTTAGTTATATTGTATAATAATGTGAACATTGCGAAATATCACGTCAAATTCTGACTAAGCATGACTACCTTGTAAATAGTAGAGTTCTATTAATATCTATGGGTTCATGTTGCTTAGTCTTTAGTTTTCTATGTTGTGTCATCTATACTATTATTTGTATGTTTGTCTTTTTATTTTTGGCCATGGCGTTGTCAGTTTGTTTTCGATCTATGAGTTTGACTGTCCCTCTGGTATCTTTCGTCCCTCTTTTTTGTCAATTTCAAGTTTCTGTTCTGACATGCATGTTGTTTATGTCACTGGACATTAAAATTCCATTCCATCATTATCTTTGTTAAATAATGCTGTTGGTTTTTATGCCCCCGTCGTAGCTGAGGAGGCATTAAGTTTTACCCTTGTCCGTCTGTAAGTCCGTCCGTCCATACGTCCCAAAATTGGTTTCCATTCTCTAACTTTAGTTTGCCTCGACAAAATGTTATGAAACTTATACACAGTGCTTATTACCACAAAACACAGATCAAGTTTGAATTTTAGTGGCGTCACATTTACCATTCTAGAGTTATGTCCCTTTACAAATGGAAATATTGCTGAATTTTTCGTTTCTGTTCTCTGACTTAAGTTTGCCTCAGCCATATGTTATGAAACTTTTACACAATGTTCATTACCACAAAACTTGCATCAAGTACAAATTTGGGTAGCGTCACTTTTACCCTTCTTGAGTATTGTCTCTTGATAATGTTATATGCAAGTGGGGGCATCATCTGTGTCCCATGCACACATTCCCTATTTATTTTACATGTTCATGTATACACTCCAAGTTATCCCTATGGTATCTCATTTATATAAAAGGTTATTTATATATAACATAGATATTAATGCAAAGGGAATTCTAAAGATGAAAGTCCATTAGGCTGACATAGTTCGATAATGCTTTGAATTATATACAAATTGAGCATATATAATAACTGCCACATTCTGAATTCCTGACCTCAGTTGTTCATTTGTGAAGTAGAAGAAAAGAGAACAATCGGTATCTGAGGGAATCTATGTATCGATCAAGCTTCATAAATTGTTTACAAAATATTCAAGATTTACAACTTTTCTTGAATAAAAAGATGTGGGCTATGATTG